AAAATTTATTTATTTACTCTAAAAATTTTAAAAAATAATAATTAATTTAAATAAATTCAAATTCAAATTATGATAATTACTTTGAGACGAGTAAGTATTATTTTACTATTCAAACTCCATTCTAGCTTTTCCAATAGAATACCATAAAAAAAAAAAAAAAGCTTTTCCAATAGAAAAAACGGAGTGTTTGCTAGTAGTGAGAGTTTAACAGTAAATAGAAGTTTTGAATTCCCGAGTTAGGGTTCCCATATATATGCTTCCTTGCAGTTTGTTAACCTCACGTAGTGCAGGCTGCAAAACCAGACAGTGAGAGAAACAGCCACTCCGGTCATCAGCCATGGTGCACGTCTCATTCTACCGCAACTGTATTTTTCTCTACCTCTCTGTTGTTTCTCTGATTTTCTATAAAGAATTTGTTATCTGGGTAGTAATCGGATCTTTTCTGGGACATTTGCAGATGGGAAGACATTCAAGAAGCCTCGCCGTCCTTATGAGAAGGAGCGTTTAGACGCTGAGCTGAAGCTGGTCGGAGAGTATGGGCTGCGGTGCAAGAGGGAGTTGTGGAGGGTTCAGTATGTCCTGAGCCGCATCCGGAATGCGGCCAGGGATCTCTTGACCCTCGACGAGAAGGACACACGTCGGATGTTTGAGGGTGAAGCCCTTCTCCGTAGGATGAACCGCTATGGGCTTCTGGATGAGAGCCAGAACAAGCTCGATTATGTCTTGGCCCTGACTGTTGAAAACTTCCTGGAGCGCCGCCTGCAAACACTTGTCTTCAAATTGGGTTTGGCAAAGTCAATTCACCATGCTCGAGTGCTGATTAAACAGAGGCATATTAGGTAACCCTTTTAGCTCTTTTCTTCTCATGTTTAATCTAATCTACCTGCCTGATTCAAATGTGAAAGCTTAGTTTTGTCTAGAGATTACAGTTCTTAGTTACTGGTTCTGAGAAACATATCTTAGTATGTGGGGACTGCCGAATTCCAATAATGCTGTTATTTCCATTGAATAATGGACATTCTAGTACTCCTTTCTTGGTAACTTATTTTGTTATTCATTACAATTTCTTCCCCTGCCTCAGAGATTGATAAGAATTTGGGAAATTTATGTCTGTTATATTGGAACAAGATTCTAGTTATGTTTCATGATGTGTTTCAAAACCTTTATTGTATAATGTGTTCGGTGTAAAACTGCAAGATTCCAGTGTTGCTTTTCTTCATTGGTATTAATCAACTGTATATTGTATTTCTGTTTATTTGAAAGTGATGGGCATAGCTTATACTTTATGCTTACTTTGGGGTTACAAGTGACTGCATTTATCATCATCTTGTTCCAAGAGTAATGATGTAATGTCAAGTATCCATTTGCTGTCCAAGAACAATATATGTGCTCATTTAATTTGATAATACATGATTATTTGATTTTTCATTTCTGGGTGGTGAAGAACTCCAGAATGATCGTGTTAGAGTCTGTAGCTGCATTTCTCATTGTGCCTGTGGAGAGGTGCTCTAGGTTGGGTTGATGAGTCTGATGTTCTTATTGATTGTTGTCCTTGTCCGTGTGAATTCTAGGAAGTTAGAAATTGTCTTGTAGGCAGGTTGATTTAAAAGAAGGCGTCTTGCTGCAGTCCATCAGGGGTTATGGGATGTATGGTTTATTATATTATCAGTTAGGATCAGTTAGGGTCTCCCATGTTAAAAAAAAAAAAAAATGAATCTGTTGCTACCTCTCTCATTGTGTATGTGGAGAAATACTCTAGGTTAGGTTGATGAGTCTGATGTTTTTACTTCTTATTGAGTGTTGTACATGTGAATTCTAGAAAGGTAGACATTGTGGACATTGTTTGTTGGCAAACTGATTTAAAAGAATGCACCTTGCTGAAGCCCATCAAGGGTTATGTGGTTTATAGTTTATTGCATTGTCAGTTTGGCTCTTGCCCCGTGAGAATGATCGCATTATATTCTTAACCAAGTTCTGTTTTTCTACTTCGATGTGTGTATGTATTTTAGTGGTCTATTCAATATGTTTCTGTTGTGCTTAGTTTGTGGTACAATGAATTTTTGTTTCAACCTTGCACAGGGTTGGAAGGCAGTTGGTAAATATTCCATCCTTAATGGTGAGGGTTGATTCACAGAAGCACATTGATTTCTCCCTCACTAGCCCATTTGGTGGTGGGCGTCCTGGTAGGGTGAAGAGAAGGAATGAAAGTAAAGCTGCCAAGAAGGCTGCTGGTGGAGATGGGGATGAAGATGATGAGGAATAAACTAACCGGTCATGTTTTTTGAGTATTTGCTTAGATAAAATTTTGTTTTCTATGGTCTCTTCTCCAAGTTTTTCTGAGCTTACAACAGAACCTTCCCAATTCTTTTATTTGCCTTTTTCTTGAAAGGCTTAGGCCCGGTTAACAACTTATTTCAGTACTTTAATTCTTTATTTTAATGCTTTTTTATTATTTTAAAAATATATAAAATATTAATTAAAATAAATAATAAATATATTTTATATATTTTTAAAATATTAAAAATTTAAAAAACTAATAACTGCAGTTACTTATTTAAATCTGGTCAATTTCCTTTTCAATTTGATAATTCCAAGGGGGGGTGGTTTAGGGGCTGTTTGCTTATACGTGTTATCGTTGATATTTGATGTGCGTACTTCGCTTGAACCAAAGACATTGTGAATTAAGCCTGAATTGTATAAAAAAAAAAATTTATAAAATGAATTTTCATAAGATTATGAGAAATTAATTTATACGAAAGTACATAGAAATTGTTATAAGAAAAAGTTTTCATCAGCATTTGAACTTCCGGTCTAATTTTGTCAAGTTACATTTAAAATGTATTCGAATGTATTCGAATTTGGTTTTGGCAAATTTATTTAAAAAAAAAAAAGAAGAAAGTTTCCGTCAAAAATTAAAAGAAAAAGAAAAGGTTAAATCTACATAAAACGATGCTTCGAGGCAACTTCGTTTGGTTATTTTCTTTGCTAGGCCCACACCCAAACCTCAAGAAACAAAGATGAATGCGATCAGCATCTTCAGAGGCTACGGCAAGGTAAACCACCTTGGAGACCAAACCCCGGACCGTAGATCCTCTCAGAGGCCTCTCTTAACCACCATCGCCATCGCCGCTGTGGTCCTCTTGACTTTGGTTATTGGTTCAATATTAGCAGCGGCAGTGATTCGTGACTACAGAGAGGAAGAAGAAACAGAATCACCACCCCTTTCGGCCGAGTTGCTCGAGTCAATCAAATCAGTCTGCAGCGTGACCCAGTTCCCGGATTCCTGCTTCACCGCCATATCTTCTCTCAACACCTCCATAAAACCCGACCCAGAATCCATCTTCAAGATCTCTCTCCGCGCAGCCATCGCCGAGCTCTCCAACCTCTCTTCATCAATCAACACCCTCAACGGTCGCAACTCCGCCCCTGCTCTGCAGGACTGCGTGACCCAGTTGGACGACGCGCTGAGTCGACTAAATGAATCGATGTCGGCTATGGAGGCGAGACCTGGGGAGAAGACGTTGACCGAGGCAAAGATCAATGATATCCAGACATGGGTCAGCGCTGCGATGACAGATCAGGATACTTGTTTTGATGGGTTAGAGGAGACGGGATCGAGGGTTCTGAATCAAGTCAACCATGGTATAAGGCAAAGATCTAAAGAGTACATCAGTAACAGCTTAGCCATTGTTGCTAACATGCCACTTCTTCTTGAGAAGTTTGGTTTGAAAATGCACTGAAATTTCTTGTTTCTCTTGGTTCAGATTTCGATTTCCAAGTCTTGATTCTCGGTTTCTGGTTTGTAACGAAAATGATTGTGTAAAAGTACATCTGTAAAGACTGTTGTGGATTTTTATCTCTTCTTTTCTTTGAACCGTTTCATTTCTGTTGTTTTTTTTGAAAATTGATGAATTACGAATTCAGGAAGAGATGATAAACATAAATATAGAAAGAAGGAAGAGCCAGGTTTTAGTTTGTCTGAAAAACATGAATCCTAATTAATTCAGACACCATGATCGGGATACAAGATCAATAAAATGCAACCTTGTACTACATCTAAGCTTCAATTGCAGAATCCAGACATTGTTCAAACAGTGTAATGCTGTGTTTGGTTTAGTTATAGGAAACAACTAATACCTGATAGCATCTGTTATTTTATATGGTAAATCAAATTAAAACTGGTTCTTTTTTTTTTTTTTTTCAAACTGCACATTCAATTTAGGATTCATTTTTTATTGATTGAACT